TTATTACTGATAATGTTAACTTTTCCTCATCTGATTAAGGTATGATGATTAGTCTTGATTGTCAACTTGATTGGATTAAGAAGTACTTAGAAGATTAGTAAAGCACATCTCTGGGTGTCTCTGAGGGTGTTCTCAGATGATCAGCTGAGGAAAGCCTCACCCTGAATGTGGGCAGTGCTATCCATATTTGAGGTCCGGTTAGAATAAATGAGGAAAAGGAGAAAACCTGCTAGCATAGGCTTGTTCTCTCTCTGCTTCCTGGCCACCATGATGTGAGCTGCTCTGTTCCACCATGCCCTCCTTTACTATGATGGACTGAATCCTCTGAAACTGAGTCAAAGTAAATAATTTGTCCCTTTAGGATGCTTTCCTCTGTTATTTGTCACAATGATGAAAACCTGACTAACAAAGAAAATTGGTGCTGAGAAAAAAATTGTTGCTGTGACATTTTTGTGGTTCTTAAGTCTTTCAAAATTGATTTTATAGGAAGAATTTAAAGACTTTGGAGATGCATTTGAAGAAAGCCTAGGATACTGTAAACAGAACCTAAGGAATAATCTGATTGGAGCTCAGAGACCAGAATACTGATAGAAATGTGGTCAGTGGAGACTGCTCAGAAGGTTTTAGATGAAATGAGGACTCTGCTGGGAATTGGCCTAGAGGGCATGCATGCCATATCCTGGCAAAGAACTTGTCAACATTTTTTGCTATCCTAAGACCTTGTGGTGGCCTGAGTTTAAATGTGACAGATTAATTACTTCAGTAGAAGAAATGTCAAGGTAGCTCAGCAACTAGACTTGTGGGCATGGGTTTTGCTGGCTAATTTTATTCATATTTATAGTGAGGATTGGGTACAAAAAGTGACAAGATTTGAAAAAAACCTGCAGTTTGACCAGAAAATAAGTATGGCATAAAGTTGTGGCCAAGCAAACTGGTTTGTAGAGATTAGTGTTATATAAAAGAGGCCAAGTACTTTGTACCTAAACAGTAAGAAAGATGCTTTGAGAGTACCTGAGGAATCACTGAGATCCAACCCACTACAAATACAAGGGTAGAAAGTGCAAACAAATTCAGAAGTTCTTCCTTTAAGAAGAGAGCTGGCACAGGGCCACGCAGGAAAGTGTTTCCCCTGTGGTCAGCCACCTAGGCATGTAGAGGAAGCTATAGCCATGGTCCAAGTGGGCTGCTTATGCAGGCAATAGACCTTGCCATCCTGTGATTCTGGTTTTGTGGGTGTACAGAATGTAACCATTATCAGGTCTCGAGACATCCATATTGCAAAGGGAATCCTGGGAGCCCAGGTAGTGTCGCAGGGTCCCTGCAGAGAATCCCAGAAAGACTGATATATAAAGCTGTGAGACAAAGTTGCAGCATGACCCAAAGAAGTTAGGGATGCTAAGAATGGATAATGCCTGGGAAGGAAAGTCACAGGCAGTGAGTGGAGCCAGCCAGGAGAGAAGCTGTTTGGGCTGATAACAACAAGACTGTAGGTGTGGAGCTCATGTCCTGACTACAAGTCTTGGATGCTGGACATGGGGTTATAGGGTTTAATGTTTACTCTCTGCTGAGTTTGTCTTGCCTTGGTTTCATCCCTCCTTTTTGTGTCCCTATTGTTCCCTTTTAGAATGGGTCTGTTTACTGTGTCATTGTATATTGGAAATAAATAATTTTCTTTTTGATTTTATAGGGACTTAGAGCTAAGATTTTGTCTTGAATCTCAGAGAAGACTTTGAAATTGCACTTTTAATTTTTTTAAAATTTCTCTCTCTCTCTCTCTCTCTCTGTGTGTGTGTGTGTGTGTGTGTATGTGTGTGTGTGTCTGTCTGTCTGTCTCTCTGCTTCTGTGTCTGTGTGAGTGAATGCCAAGTGTGTGCAGGTGCTCATGGAGGCCAGAGGAGACCAGGAGAGGATATCAGATTTCTTAGAGCTGGAGTTAATGGGCACCTGTGAGCTGCCTAATATGGGTGCTGGGATCTGAACTCTGAGCAGCAAGAGCTCTTAATCACTGAGCCATCTCTCCAGTCTCGAAATTGGACTCTTGAACAGTGTTGAAATTGTTGAGACTTGAGGAATCTTGGAGATGCACTGAATGAATTTGCATTGTGAGATAGATATATTTGGGGGAAAGGGTTAGAGTTATGGTTTAAGGAGATGTATTTGTGTGTTGATAGACCTGCAGTAGACAGTCATGTCAACTTGATTCAATTGAAAAACACCTCAGAGATTAATAAAGCATACTTTTGGTTGTGTCTGTGAGGGCATCAGGTTCCAGAGAGGATTAATTAAGGAGGGAAGACTCTCCTAATGTGGGCAGGTCCATAGGTTGGGGGCCCAGATGAGTAAAATAGGAAAAGGAGATAACCACCAGCCCAGGCATTCTCTCTCTGCTTCCTGGCTGCTCTAATGTGAGCTGATCTGCCCTGCCCTGCCCTCCCTGTCATGATGGACTGATGCCTCTGAAACTGAGTCAAAAATAAATAATTCTTCTCTTATATTGTTTTGCTTAGATACTTTGTCACAATAAAGGAAAACTGACTAAGATGGGCCATCTCCAGATTTTTTTGTACTGTTCTTCCCTTCATAAGTATTTGATTTAAAAATTATATTTTATTTATTTTTATTTTATGTGTATATATGTAAGTGTACCACATGTGTGCAGTGCCTCTGATGGCCAGAAGAGGACATCAGATCCCTGGAACTTGAGTTACTGACAGTTGTAAGCCACCTTGTGGGTGTTGGAAACCGAACCTAGCTCTTCTGCAAGAGAAACGAGTGCTTTCAACCACTGAGTCAGTAATCTCTCCAGTCCCAGTATTAAGTATCTGAGATTATGCAAATATCCTGTTTCCCACCAAACTTTCTCTTAGTTTTAGCAAACATTGATAATTCTTGCCTTAAACATTTTTTTATTTTTAAAATATTTTATTTATTTTTATTTTATGTGTATGAGTGTATTGCCTGCATGTATGTGAAAGTGCACCCATATCATGCAGTGCCCATGGAGGTCAGAAGAGGGCATTGGATCCCCTGGAACTAGAGTTACTGCTGGTTGTTAGCCACCATGTGGGTGCTGGGAATCGAACCGGGGTCCTCTGCAAAAGCAGAGAGTACTGATAGTGCTCTTAACCACTGAGCCATCTCCAGTCCCTGCCTCAAACATTGTTACTGTTTGTCACATGCTGCCTTTTCAAGCTTTGTTACTGTATTTACAGTTAATAGTTTGATTTCTACTGGAATGAATGTTTTGTTTTCTTCTTTTTTTGTGTATTTCAGTATTTTACTTTTTAAAAAATATTTTATTTATTGTCTTTATTTTATGTGTATGAGTGTATTGCCTGCATGTATGTGAGTGCACCCATATTGTGCAATGCCGCAGAGGTCAGAAGAGGGCTTCCCTCTGGAAATGGAGGTAAGAACAGTTCGTAACTACCATGTGGGTGCTGGGAATCAAACCCCGGTCCTCTGCAAGAGCAGTCAGTGCTCTTAACTGCTGAGCCATCTCTCCAGCCCCCTATTTTACATTTTTTAATTAAAGATTTTAGTTAATATATTGTTATAAGTTTGTGTACATGATATGTATATGTAAGTATGCTTGTGCCAGGGTACACATATGCCATGGGACACATGTGGAGTTCAGAGGACAGAAATTCTGTATTTCTGTCTTAGCATGAATTTCAGGGATTGAACTCAGGTTGCCAGGCTTGCACAGAAAGCACCTTTACCCATTACACCATCTTGCTAGCCCATCATTTGTTGTTTTATTCAGTAGAATATATATTTTCATTACCTCTTTAAACTTTGATTCTGTTCCATATGTCCTCTGTTCTCTTGAGACTGCAGTTACTCATGTGTTAGATTGTTCAATGCATCCTATATGTCTTGAACACATTTCTGAATATACTATCCCTTTTTCTGTGGGTTTTTTGTTTGATTGGTTGGTTTATTTTGGAGACAAGGTCTTACCATGTAGACCAGGCCTCACATTCACAGAGATCTGCCTGCTGCTGCCTCCCGAGTGCTGGGATTAAAGGTGTGCACTGTCATACTTGGCCTCGTTTCTTTTTTTTTTTTTTTTTTTTTTTTTTTAATACATACACTTAAAAAACAAAAAACAAACAAACAAAAAAACCCCAGAACTGTGCTTCAGAACTCCACTATGTGGATCAGAGTGTCTTTTTTTTTTTTTTTAAGACAGGGTTTCTTGTAGCCCAGGCTGACCTTGAACCCACTGTGTAGCCAAAGATGACCTTGAACTTCTGATCTTTCAGCCTCCACCTTCTGTATACTGGGATCACAGGCTTGGGACACTGACACTTCACCTGGTTTTGGGTGATACTGCAAATTTAACCCAGGGCTTTGTGTATGCTAGGCCAGAACTCTGTCAGCTAAGCTATTACTATAGCCCTAGCCCTCAATTTACACCATTTGTCTAAGGTTTCATAGATATCATCATATATTAGTAAGAAAATTAAAGATAGAAAATGAATAATTATCTTAGAATGATAGAATTATGAATGATTTTTCCATTTGCAGACTTAACCTTATTGTAGTGTTTTATGATTTAAAGAAATTTCATATTTATAAAATGTTATTTTTTATTCTAAAGTCATATACATATATTGGAAAAATGTTGGAAAATACAGAAAAAGGAATTAAAAATAAACTTTAGATCCTTCTCCCCAAACCACCACTTTTGGTATTTTTGGTATATTTAAAAAGTTAGTTCTAGTGGATCTCTGTAAGTTCAAGGCCAGCCTGGTCTACATAGTGAGTTCCAGACCAGTTGGGGCTACAGGGAGACCCTGCTTCAAAAAGACCACACACACACAAAAAAATTAGTGTGAAGGTGTTATATAGCTTAGTGATAGAGCGACAGCTTAGCTTGTTCTAGGCCTAAGTCTAGTTCCCAAATTTGAAAAAAAAATTAGTAGGGTACATGGCTATGTTTTAAAAAAAATGACCAGGTTAGCAATGTATTATGTGGTCATGTTTCATTTCAGGTCCTGAAAATCCTTGGCTGGTTCAAGCTTATGTTTCAGCAGCTAAACATCCTTTTGCTTCAGTGGTGGCTCAGGAAGTTTTTCAGAGTGGAATCATTCCTTCAGATACTGACTTCCGCATCTACAGGGATTTTGGGAACATTCCAGGTATTTTGTCAATGGTTGAATACTACTGTATAACACTGATATAGCAAAAGCAAAATTGACTTCTTGAGAGTTTGTGAGTAGATGTCTTCTGAGAGGACATGGTGTATGTGAGCGTGGTCCCTTCTGAATCTAGAGCTCTTAATGCTGTCTCTTTAAAAACTTGGTAGTAATTTAAATGCCTGCCTCCTTTAGAATATTCTGTCTTGTACCATGTACATCATTCCCAAAAGATGGTCATAGATCCTTTGACTTGCATGATTATTATCTTTCTTTTCCATCTCCTTTGGAGGCTTGTATTGTTTATTTGAAGTTAAAGCTTGGCTCTTACTTGACCAAATGCCAAACTCATTTCCCCAAACTTCCTTCCCCTTAATTTGTGGCTTACAATGTTTTCTTAATCATTCTGTTTTGATTTGTGGACCACAGTTACAGATTTTGTAAGAATAGAAAATAATTTGTGATTCATAAATATGACAGACTCAATCAAACTTATGCTTTGACATTTTTGTCTTTTAAGAAATTAATGCAGTAAAAAAACAGGACTAGCCGGGCATGGTGTTGCACTCCTTTAATCCCAGCACTCGGGAGGCAGAGGCAGGCGGATCTCTGTGAGTTCAAGGCCAGCCTGGTCTACATAGTGAATTCCAGGACAGCTGGAGCTACAGGGAGACCTGTCTCAGAAAGAACAAAAACAAAACAACAACAACAACAACAACAAAAAAAAAAAACAGGACTAAAACAAGGCTGATCTTTAAAGCAAAATGATTTTTTTTCCTCTTTTGTGTCTTAGGCATAGACTTAGCTTTTATTGAGAATGGCTACATTTATCATACCAAGTATGACACAGCGGACAGAATTCTGATAGATTCCATTCAGAGAGCAGGTTGGTATCTCTGGTTTGACTCTTGATATACAATGATGAAATATTGGGGATGATCTCTAAAATATAATCTCTAACCTATCCATTAGACAGACAGTATGTGGTGGAATGATTTATAGATTTGGATTTGGAGATGAGGGCTTGAATTTTTTAGTCTTGCTGTCTGATTTAGCAATTAAGAACAGAAATATTCAGTTGGGAGCATGATCCTGGGCTATGGTAGGGTTGCTAATTCACTGTGAGTACTTGGACGAACTGCCCCAGGTCTGTGGTAGAATTGTCAAATAGTAAAGAATGTACTCAAAATGAGAGGTGGGAAGGAAGGTGACCCTCATTCAGCATGGCTGTGGACAAAGGCCCCTCCTCTTGTTTTGTAGCAGGACATAGGGTCTTACTTTGTAGACCAGGCTGGCCTAGTCTTGTGAGCCTCCTGCCTCTGCCTCCTAATGCTGGGGTCATAGGCATACATCACCATGCCTTACTAAAAAAAAAAAAAACGGTTTTTTGAGGTAGGATCTCGCTATGTAGCTTTGGCTGGCCTTGAAGCTGTAATTCTTCTGCCTCCTTACTAATTCTCTATGTTGTTGTTTGTTCTGTTTTTTTTTTTTTCTTTTTTCCTGCAGTGCTGGGGGTCAAACCGATGGCCTCATGCATGCTAGGCAAGCACTCTACCACTGAGCTTCTTCCTCAGCCCTTGTTCTTGTATTGTTTTTTTGTTTGGATTTGTTTTTATTTGAGAGAGGATCTTGCTCAAGCTAGCATAGGCTGGCCTTGAATTCATGATCCTCCTGCCTCTGCTTCTCCTTCCTGAGAATTTTATTTTTCTTGTAAATTTTTTATTGAATTTTGTGTATTTCATACAGAGCATCTTAATCAATCTTAATCATCTTTATACCCCCTTCCCCAATGGCTCCCTCCTATAGCCCCCCCCCCACTGGAATTCATACATTCTGTCATTTGTGTTAAGCCTATCATGTCAAGTTAGTGTTCACAGACATCCCTCAGTGCAGGTTCATCCACTGGGGTCTAGGAAGCCTATCTAGACTTCCTTCCTTTAAGAAGACCAGCTCTGGGGCTGGAGAGCTAGCACCGAGGTTAAGACACTGACTGTTCTTGCAGAAGACCCGGGTTTGAATCCCAGCACCTACATGGCAGCTAACAACTGTCTGTAACTCCAGTTCCAGGGGATTTGACAGTCTCTTCTGTCCTCCGTGGGCATTGCATGACACGGCTGCACTTACCTACATGCAAGCAATACACGCATACACATACAATAAAAATAATAAAATATATTTTAAAAAAAAGATGATCAGCTCTTCTGCACCCAGCAGTAATCAGTTGCCAATAATTATTTGACTAAGATTGGGGCTTCTTGCTCATTTCCACAGTTCTGTGCTGGTGTTTGTCTGCTTGAGTTTGCATAGGTCTTGTGCATGCTGACCCCATTGCTGTAGGTTCATGTGAGCAAGGTCCCAGGAGCTTGTGGGACTCTATTTCCATGTGGTCATGCACCTCCTCCCTTACAGTCTTTCTGCCCCCTCTTCCACAATGGTCCTTGAGCCCTTGGGTGGGTGGAATTTAATATAAGAGTCCTGTCCAAGGACCCACACTCTGTAGACTCTTACTCTCCATGCTTTGGCCATTTGTGTTCCTGGCCCTCTGTTGCATGAGGGAGCTTTATTAATGAGAATTAAGAGATGCATCAGTGTCTTCTTTACTCCTCGTTCTGTGTTCCGTGTGCCTTAGGTGTAGAGGTTGCATTGTAAATGTGCCACTTAGGCTTGGGCAATTCACAGACAATGTCTATGTGTGACCAGTTGTAGAACTCTGTAATAGTCTCTGTCTGTTGCAAAAGAAGCTTCTTTGTTGAGTGGTGACTGGGTTACTTGTCTATAAATTTAAGGATCCATATTTTGCACATAGTAAGAAATTACATTTGTCTAGAAATGTGACAGGCTTGGGTTTTCTCTAAGATCTAAGATCTCTCCAGTCCTATGTATTTGGCTATGTTTATAGTACCACACATGAGTTTCCTCCCATTGAGTGGGCTTTAAGTCCAATTAGGTAACTGTTGATTTCCCCCAAGATAAAAGTGCCGCTACTGTACCAATGTTGTTTGCTGTGCCAGTCATTGATGTGGTTATTAGGCATTGAAATGGGTTGGACCATCGATTGATATTCTCCGTTATTATCTCATGTAGTGCTCTCCAAAGCTATGAGAGCTAGCCTTTAGAGGAGGCGGCTTTCAGGCCAGTTCTAGCTCTTCCTAATAATTCTTAACATGCATGTAACAACTTGTTCTGTGCCTATAAACGTCACATGAGGCTTTTGTCTCTTGTTTCACCACTGAATTCCTGGTATCTAGAAGTGTCTGGCACAGTTAGTATATATTAAATGAATAAGGATAGGATATTGCTTTTGGCTTGTAGAGTTGATCATAGAGAATAGCTGTACTAGAAGGCAAAGGCTGAGCTTCTAAGTAGAGTAGGGAGCAGTGACCTTATTTGGGAAATCTGGTAAGAAAATGTAAGAGTAGTAGGATGGCAGGAAGCGTTGTTCACATTCTTCCCCAAATACTTATACAGATATTAGGCGGTCTAGTCTGCTCTGCATGGTGGCATATGTAGGTCACATAGTTTATTCAACCTTTTTATCTTTCTTACTAAAAGGTGACAACATTTTAGCAGTTCTTAAACATCTGGCTACATCTGATATGCTGGCTTCTTCTTCTGAGTATCAGCATGGAAACATGGTCTTCTTTGATGTGTTTGGCCTGTTTGTCATTGCCTACCCTTCCCGTGTTGGCTCAATAATAAACTACATGGTAGTGATGGCTGTTGTTCTGTACCTTGGGAAAAAATTCCTGCAGCCCAAACATAAGAGTAAGTATTTTCCTTAAAATGGGGGTACTGGGTGAGGGGTAGGATTTTCTTGAAAGCTTTTAGTCATTGTAGTCATTTCTTCTCAGGAAGTAAAACATCTTTTGTTTGGTCTTTTTGAGACAGGGTTTCCCTGTAGCCTCAGCCAGCCTGGAACTCACTGTGTAGACCAGGCTGGCCTTGAATTCACAGAGATCTGCCTGCCTTTGCCTCCTGAATGCTGGGATTAAAGACATTCACCACCATGCCTGGCAAGAAGTAAAACATCATAAGAAAATATTGCTTGATTTATATTTTAGGAAATGCTTAGCTAAATCTTGCATTGATATGCTTATTATACCTTTGGGCTTGGTGAAACAATTTTCATGAACTCAATCCTAATAGCACTTTTTAAGAACTATTGAAAAATGGTTCAACCAGGGCTGCTTTTATTCTGCCTGACTATAAATACTATAAAATTTTGGTGTTCTAAAACAGGAGTCACAAGTGGGCTTGACAGAAACTAAGAAAACACTAAAACTGACAGGTTTAGTTGACTTGACAATCTTAGCCACACTAATACAAGCCAGAGCCAAATAAACCAAGATCTGTTCTGCAGTGTGATCTCCCTGTGTGTGCCTTGGTTCTCCTGGCTCTGTACAAATGCATGGAAAGCTTTGCCACATGTTTCTTGAGTTATTTGTATTAACAAACTAACTCCATTCTCACTGCTGGGTTAATTCAGCCCTATGCTATAATGTAAAATTATTAATTATGCTGAAATAAAACTTTAGTTTTATAAACTAATTAAGGAAAGATGCTTTAACATGTGCTTTTCATAAAAAGAAACTGTTAAAATGGTTTCCTTATTAATAACCAAATTTTAATATTATTTATTTTTAGTAATATAGTTGATAAAGTCTATAACCTATGTTAAAAACTTACACTCAAAAACAACAGCAACAGGGGCTGGAATGATAACTCAGAGTTTAAAAGCACTGGCTGCTTTTCCAGAGGACCTGGGTTTGATTCCCAGCACCCATGTAGCAGCTAACAACCATCAGTAACTCTAGTTCCAGGGGATCCAACATCTTCTCCTGGCCTCTGAGAGCATTATGTGACATGGGTGCACTTACACATATGCAAACAAACACTCATATATAATAAAGCATTAAAAACAGCAAACAAAATGGTTTGTATAGATTGACTTTTTACATTTATTTACTTTATATGTGTGTTGGTGCATGCATGCACGTATGCCATTGTGAGTGTGTGGAAGTCAGAGGACAGCTTATGGGAATTGGTTCTTTTTCTTCCACCGTGTGGGTCCTGGGGATTGAACTCAGGTCTGCTGACTTGCCTTGCTTTACCTGCTGAGCCATGAGCCATCTTGCCAGCCTGATAGGCAGATATTTAATGAAAACTCCCACTAAAAAGTCTTCTATACTACAGGCCATTGGCACACTGTTCTGTTCTGAAATATGAATGAGCTGCTTTTGGTTAAATTGTTCCCTTCTTCCTGAAATATTTCTGCTTGAATAAGTTATATATCATCACAAGATAAAGTAGCAACAATTTAAATAATTCTTTATCACTAGTTATTTTCCCCATGTCATTATTTTCCTGTTAGCTTCTTTAAAGAAAATTTAAAAAAACATTCATTTATTTATTTGTGTGTGTATGCGTGCGCACGTGTGCATGTGCGCGCATGTGCGGTTTGCATGTGTATATTTTTATGGACACTAGCATGCCATGGCATGCATATGGAAGTCAGCAGACAACTTGTAGGAATTGGTTGTCTTTCCATCATATCGATTTCAAAGATGGAATTCAGGTTTTCAGGCTTGTACAAAAAGCACCCTTACTTGCTAAGCCATCTTGCCTTCCCTGTTAGATTCTTTTAACAAAATTTTATTTGGAACTTTGCTTTCTGAAATCCTTGCTAAAATTTTGATAAGCAAAGCATCCAATGAGACTTGTCTCTTGGAATCTTTTTTTAAAAAGATTTTTATATTGTGCGTGTGTGTGTGTGTGTGTGTATGCCTGTGTATGTACAGGTGCTTATAGACACCAGAGGCATTGGATTCCCCTGAAGCTGAATTTACAAGTGGTTGTGAACTACCTGATGTAGGTGCTAGGAATTGAACACAGGTCCTTTTCAAGAGCTGTAAATGCTTTTAACCATTGGTCCATCTCTCTAGTCCCTTTCTTGGAGACTTTAACATCTTCAAACTCTCAATAAGTGTTCCTTGGATAATAAAGGGTAATACTAATCCTTTATACCTCCCCCATTCTAGTATTTGACAGTCCTCCACACTAGGACATTCTGATATTTTCAGTTGCAGTGGTCAGCTTTTTGTTTTAACATTTGCCTCCTTAGCATTGCTAACTGGTTATGTGATTGATTTGATAAAGATGGTGACATTAACTTTTTGTTTTCTCTTCATTAGCTGCTAACTACACGAAAGACTTCTTGTGTGGACTTGGCATCACTTTCATTAGCTGGTTTACTAGCCTTGTTACGGTTCTCATTATAGCAGTGTTCATCTCTCTTATTGGGCAATCTCTCTCATGGTATAACCACTTCTATATTGCTGTTTGCCTGTATGGAACTGCAGCAGTGGCCAAAATAATATTCATACATACCCTTGCAAAAAGATTTTATTATGTGGTAAGTGTCAGGTTTATTTATTGATTTCAAGACAAACTCAAGTGGGATTTATTGTTTATGGGCTTTTGAGCTATTAGAAATTGTTCAGAATGGGCTTATAGAAAATGTTCCCATCATTGTGTTAATTTTCTGGAAGTTTTCTTATTCTGGGAGTTGTGATGTAGAATTCAAATGAAATTTGTTATCAACAGTGTTTAGTATGGTGGTGACAGTAAGCCTCATTTGCATGGCTCTCTGCCTCTGCCTCTGCTGTTTGCTGTGGTTTCTGAAACCACTTTTCTGTCTGCTACCCCACTCTGGGCTCATCCAGTTATTTATGGTTGAATAACACTATTATTCACTGCTGTGTTGCTTGTACTTAGGCAATGTCTGACATAGCATTATCACACAGTAAACACTTAAAAGAATACTGCATGTGAATTTTTTTTGTTTTTTTATTTTTTAAATAATTTATTTTATGTATATGAGTGTATTGCGTGCATGTATGTAAGAGTACCCATGTCATGCAATGCCCACAGAGGTCAGAAGAGGGTGTTGAATTCCCCTAGAACTGGAGTTACAGATGATTGTTAGCTACCATGTGGGTGCTGGGAATTGAGCCTGGATCCTCTGCAAGTGAACCTGGATCCTCTGCAAGAGTAGCCAGTGCTCTTAACCACAGAGACATCTCTCCAGCCCCTACTTTTTTTTCTTACATGTTTTTGATGCAGGTTTTCACAGTTTTTTTTTT